ACCTTTGTCGGCCCGCTTTGACTCAAAGAACAACTATGGCAAAAGAGTCGCCTACGTGATGCTCGCTACCGAGCTCAGTGTTGCCATGAAAAGAGAGTTTACAGCCAAGCAAGTGCAAGACAAGGTACGTTTCTGGCCTTTCAACACAAAGTACTGATGATCCTTAGCTCGCCAAGATGAAAACTGAATGGAGCCTCTCGAAGCCCTCTCTTGCCGCCCCCACCGGGAACACTCCACTGGCGCTTGAGCCCTTGCACTACGAAGTCATGCTTGAATATTGGGGCGAGAAGGTGGGCTTTCAACGGGAGTCACTGATGAGCACTGATGATGTATGCGACGATGACAATAGTGAGACGAAGCAAGGTACTGTCATTAAGTGCATCCATGAATCTGAAATATTCTAGATCACTCCTCGAATGATGACGAAGAATCGGCTGTGGTCGATGAGGGGGCGCAGGAGCCAAAGCAAAAAAATGAAGCCATCGAAAAAATTAAAGAAGTCAAGATCAGCTTCGGAGTCCCTTGAAGCGGGGTTTATTGCAATCAAGGAAGGATTAATGTTTCTTGGATCTGCATTGGCCCAACAACCTCCCGCTCGTCCGGATGTACAAGAATCAGCGGCAACAAATGTACAAGCAGAGTCTACTGCAACTCTGGATGACGTTTTAACAGCAATCAAGGCACAATCAGACACGATGGCACAACTTCTGACGCACCTCATTAAGAAAGATCAATAAACTTTTTCATGTCATTTACTCGTAAACATATTTTGCTAATGCATTTCTTTTTGCTAGTGCACTCTTTCGAATTTGAGGGTTTGTTTCAACTTCACTGTCATCGAGGGGTTGATGATGGTTGTTTCGGTCTCGGAGATGGCACGGTGTATTGAAGAGGTCGTCGTTGAATTGCAAATTCATATTGTGAAGGACGAAGCACGCGGTGACAATCGACACTGTCCGATCAATGGACTTCTCGCTCATGACAGTTTTTAGAATCCGAAATCTCTCCTTGAGTCTGCCAAAAGCGCATTCCACAACCATTCTCGTACTTGAGTGCTTGTAGTTGAAGCACTTTTGCATTTTGGACAACCCGCCACCCTCCTCATGCGGCAAAAATGGCGTTATCAACCAAGTCAGAAGCGTGTATCCAGCGTCACCAATAATAAAGCACCCCATGGGCATTTTTGCAAGAATTTTTTTGCCAAAAGTTGACGACTTCCAGATTTTTTTGTCGGAATATGATCCAGGCAATGAGTGCAGACGGTCGGAATATGATCCAGGCAATGAGTGCAAAGTTTTCCGGCTTGTCAAGCTTGGCTCCACAGAGCGAAACCACTGAACAATGCATCGAAAGGTTGCTTGGCTGCATCGCAGGTTCATCAAGAACCACTGGTCGTAGTGAGGGTGGCCAAGCATTGCATCGAAGTTGACAGTAGTCACTGTGAGCTTATTGTACTTGTTTGAGGAAGAACGTGCACCCACCGACGCGACTCCAACACACAGGGCGGATATTGCTGTCGCAACTGCAACGGCAACTACATGTTTGACCGACATCGGTCTTGTTCAAACCGGGACAGGAACGTGAACGACCACAAATTGCCTTGCATCCGAATACGCGTTAACCGTAGAGGCATGAACACCTCGGACATGAAGGATTTTATTCCCAGACCAGGGCCTTAGGTGAACGACAAGAATGACTATTTTGAGAAATTGACGAAACTGAAAAAAATGCGAAAATTCCTGCTCTTTGGAGCAAAACGGCAATATTGGAATCTCTCGACACGGCGACGATGGAAGACGGCAGAGACGTGCCGCCGTGGACGACCATCATGGACGACTTGCCGTTCCTCATAGCAAACGACGACGGATTGACCGAACAACTCACGCGGGTGTGTGACTTACTGGACGATTTTCCCGACGATGACTTGATGGACTTCGATGTCGCAAGTCCAAGGAGCAGTGAACTATCCTCGTCAGAACTGGACGTGCAGTCGACTCTTCCTCCGCCTTCGTCCAAGAAATCAAAGCGCACGTCGTTCGAGGTACGTCAAAAGCACGAGCTGCAGCGCCTTCGCGATGAAGTACGAGAGTTGAAGACCAAGCTGTTGCATTGCGAATCGAACAAGAGGGATGGGAGCAATGATTCGTTCTGGAAGCAAGCGGCGAGCATTGCACGCGCCGAGAAGATCAAGGCACTTCATGAAAACGAAGCGCTTCATGATGCCGTAACTCAACAGGCCACATTCATCGAGCAGATGCAGCGTGTATTTCGGAAGAAGCCACGTCTCGACGTAGGTCGCAACCTCCACATCGTGAGTGTCACTTGCGATGCTCCATTAGACATTTCGAGATATCGAGTCAGAATCGTGGCAATCGTACACGTTATCAGCTCACGCGTCGTTGCGAACCGCGGCTATCCATGCCATAGCTGACCGCCAACGCAGTCGAATGCATCACACGTTCCTTCGCGCCGGTGTTTTGGACCGTGTCGACGACCTGTACCGAGCGACTTTCCAGCCTCAGTCGAACGGATCCATCATGTTTGAGTTGGTCAACCATGTGACTCTAGCGGCATCGTACCAGTCGATTGGGGCGGCACTGTGGCAGACCATGGGCAATCGACACACGACTTTCCAGCTGAATGGAGTCGAAGAGGTACTTCCCTACCTTGCTGTGTGTTCTTGTGTCACTCGTGCTGAGCTAGACTCTGGAAGAAATCGACGCGTGCACAGTGTATGGCCACGTCACATCGTTGTCGGCGGACGGATCGGTGGTGTGGCACTCGAACCTCATTCGAAAGTACTATCCCCAGCCAGGCAAGTTTCAGTTCGTCGGGCGATCTGTCTTGGACGACGCGCTGTCTCCAACTGCGCCTGGGGACATGGTGGACAGCAAAGCCGCGTGGTACACGCGATTGAAATGCCCAAGATGGAAACATCGACGATCGTTCGTAGGGTTCAAATTGTGCCTCTCGGGGACACGTCGTGCCGCCTCACCTTTGTCGTCCAAGTCGATTTGGGCCAGTCGTTTCACACTTCTGACATTGACGATATCGAGCTGGCAGCCATGATGAAGAAGCTGACCATCTTTCCTGACGCTGGGAAGACTCCGCCCATATTTCCATGCTTGCCGTCCTACGTGACCGACTACGATGGCTCCGAAGTCACCTCTGTCGCCTTGCGCAACATTATCGAAACGGGCAAGAGCGTCCAACGCGCTCTTAGCGGCACGATTGCTGGCATCATCGAAGCGGAGCAAAGATGCAGCCCCCACGACACTGCGCACCAAGCGTTCAAAGTCGTGATGTAGTCGTGGCATTTCGAAATGCTCGAGGCGCCGATTCGTTTTGTATTATACTGTAAAAATTCAAGAACTATTGGCATATTTTTGGCGAAAGTGAGTGGTTTTGTTGTGCTGAATCGAGATAAATTCAAGAAATGTTTGGATGGTTTTGGCGAAAATTGTAGTGTCATTTTTTGAACAAACTGTCTCAATTGTCGACCGAATATCGCTCAAGACGATGGACGCCGCAACGTCGGCGGCGGACGCGGCCCTTCACGACCTGGAGCTCGTCATTGCACACGACGCCGGGTTACAATGCAGTCTAGATCGAGTTTATGACCTTCTCCTCGAAGACGACGACGACGATGTGGAGGAGGCGTGTTCGTTGATTTTGGCGGCGCAACCTGGCCGTGGTGTCGAGGAGACGCACGTTGCTGGGAATGAAGTTGCACGGGAGCGCAACCCACCTAGACGTCGAGCTACCCAACCACCACGGTCAACATTTGAGATCCGACAGAAAGATGAGCTGCGGCGACTTCGAGAGGAAGTCGAACTACTGAAAAGCCAACTTCTCGCCAGGCAGGCTTGCGACATCACTTCAGAGACACAATCGTTCTGGGAGCGAGCGGCAAAGCGCGAGCGCATCGAGTTGATAAAAGCCACGCAGGAAAAGGAACAGCTCGAGGAAGCACTGCAGCAGCAGGCGACGTTCGTCGACCAAATGCAGCGAGTGTTCCGGAAAAAACCGCGCGTCGAGGTGCTTTGGATTTTTTGCCTTGTTGCCATGGACGGAACTGACGCCACAACGTTAAACCATAGTTCCAGACAGACGCCGACGCGTGGCAGGTCTATAAACTCGCGGCCCGGACGTCCCTTCGAGCTACAGCGATTCACGCCATCGCGGATCGCCAGTACAGGCGTATGGCATCTGCATTCCTTCGTGCCGGGCTTCTTGACCATGAAGAAGATAAGTTTGAGGTCAAGCTCTTACCGCAGCCGAAGGGGCAATCGATGGTGTTCCAGCTCGTCCATCACGTGTTATTGGCAGTGCCATTCCACGACATGGGAGCTTCGCTGTGGAAGGGCATTGGCAAGTACCACCTGCCATATTCTTCCGACGACGGCGCCAGTGTCGAGGTGAGGCTACGTTAGCGAAGCACGCTGAAAAGCTGCCGGGTAGGAGCTGGAAGAGGTCGACGCAGACACAGTGTACGGTCGATATTCCACGACGTTGGACGGCCATACATCGTGGCATTCGAACTTGATTCGGAAGCACTATGTCGAGCGAGATCGGCATGTGTACATCGCCCGAACGGTGCTCGACGACGAATTGAGTGGTCCTCGCGCGCCCAACGCTGTGGTTGAAAGCAAATGTGTGTGGTATGGCACTGTGAATCATCCATGTTGTTTTGATAGAGCTAAGGCATCTCCAGGGCCACGCTTGCTCGAGTGACGTCCGAATCGTCCCGCCTTACCATCCTCCTCCACATGGACGTCGATATGGATATTGATGCTGCCAACGAACTGCAAACTCTTTTGAGCAACATGCCGTTACCACAACCACACAATGACAAGCGCAGGCTGGACCTGTCACCGTTGATGCAGCGCATCGACCCATCCGTCTTTCCGTTCTCGAACATGAAGGTCTTCTTCGAAGGCAGCAAGCGCATACAGGCTGCCATTAACACCATCATCAATTCCGCGATTGAGTCGTACAAGGTTACCTCGGCGCAAGCATGACCATCGACCGGTCGTTGTTTGGAGTACTAGCATAAACTCGATCATGAATCGCATCATCGCTTTCCATTGTTTCTTCCGACGTCTGCCGCTCCGTCTCGTGGAGTCCAACCCCCTTGTTGGCTCAACCAGCTCACCTACAAACGTACATTCTTGCAATGGAACATGGCATGCATCACCCATCTCGAAGCGTCCAGGAAGCTAGCGGGATCACTTGTTTGAATATGTCGGCTCTCGAAGAAGTGACTGCAAAGCATTAGTGGTTCACGCGGCCCAGCCATCTTTGGCCGAGCGCAGCAACCGACTATGCACAGGGCTCACACAATGCTGAGGGTGTGCGCAGAAGCACTACCGCCGTTGAGGTTGCCTTGCATCTGGCGGTCGGCTGGCGATTTTGCCGCTGGACAGCCGATCTACACCGATCTACACCGCACCATGGATGCAACCAAATCCCCATCAATCAGCGTCAGTCCCAGGATGTTTGATGGACCGCCGCCTGACTGCTGCTTCTGGCCGACGTCGATGCCTTCGTCGATTTTGTGGACGCCAAATTCCCCAAGCTGAAGTTGACGTGACGTACTTTAATGGGTGCACTCGCACTTTAGAGAAGTGGGTGTTAGAATCAACTCGAAAAACGCAATTGCTGCGTCGGGACGATGTCGCAAGGTACGGATGGCGAGGGGTACGACGGTGGCCAGGACAGCAACAGCCTGGACGACACGTGGGATGTGATGAAGGATCTGCAGTTCCTCATTGCCACGGACGACCAGCTTCAAGACGAGCTCGCCCAAGTATGGGAGATTTTGGACTCGGATCTCGGAGCACAGGCCCTCCTTCCAAGTCAGCCTTTCGTGGGTGAGACGGACTCGGACACAGTCGCGACATCTCCTGCATCAAGTCCACTCCGCACCTCCGCGCCAGTTGAATGTGTAGATCCAGACGAAACAACGATACCGCCCCCGGCGTTGTCCAAGCGAGACGTGGAGCACCCCAAGCCGAAAGCCCAACGATCGTCCGTGCGGCAACGTGAAGAAATCCTCTTGTTACGACAACAGATCGAAGATCTCACAGCGAAGCTTCGTGCAAAGGAGACTTCCGCGGTTTCGACAACGTTCGACATGACACTGTGGGAACGTACGGCCAAGCTCGAGTGCATTGAGATGAAGAAGGCGCTGCAGGAGAATGAACAGCTTAAGGACGCCGTGTACCAGCAAGCAACCTTCATCGATCAGATGCAGCGCGTCTTTCGCAAGAAGCCTCGCATTGGGGTACGATGCTTGGTGTGTCTCGTCCCTGCCTCATGCCTTGTTTTCCCATACGTAGACCAACATCGATATCCATTCCGAGGAATGGCAAACGTACAAACTGGCGGCTCAAGCATCTCTGCGGGAAGCAGCGATCCATGCCATCGCGGATAGACAGTACCGCCGCATGCAAAGCGCGTTCGTCAAGGCCGGGGTGTTTCACCGCGAGTCGTATCTGTTTCACATCAAAGCCAATCCCCTGCCCGACAACTCGTACTCTCTCGACATGATCACACACCTTACGCTCGACGCCCCGTTCCGGCTGGTGGCGGCTCAGGCGTGGCAAGTATGCAACGGCGAGCTGGCGATCGACTTGCCGGATGGCGCGACCGAGGTACTCAATGACGATACAGCATTCGGGTGAACCGACTGTCCGTGGTCTAGACCTTTGAACACATCGACTTTTACACCGTGTACGGCAAGTTGATTGCGCGCCCCAGTGGCGGCATCCCATGCCACTCCAACACAATTCGAAAGTACTACGTCGAGGGAGATCGCGAAGTGATTGTGTCGCGCACGGTGCTCGAGGACGCCGCGATGCCGCACATGTCGAAAGGCGCTGTGGAAAACAGAACGATGTGGTGTGTACGATGGATGGATCGCGAGACGGCATGACGTTGTGCTGCAGGTTGCAGGTGATGCCGCTGCCAGACGACCCGAACCGATGCCGGTTCACGATGCTGCAGGTGCTCATTTGGCCAGTTGAAGACCCCATCAGGGACGACGATGGGTTGGACGATGTTGTCGAGGCCATGAAGTACGTGTGCTTTGGTCACGAGCTCGCCCGCGCCGGTACTATTCCAATGGCTGCCCAGATGGACCTCACGCAGCTGCCGTACCCGAGCATGGGAGTATTTGCCGAGCGCGGGCGGCGGTTCGTGCGGCTCATCAAAGCCAAAGTCAACGAAGCGATTGTAAACTTTAATGCGCCGCCCCCCGTCGCACCACACGCTGCCCCGTCGACACAGTAGCGATCAACCACCAAGGAAAAAACACAATGCTGTACGCGTCATTGCCCCCTTTCACGCAGGACACGTACCGACAACGCAAGGACGTGGTCCGCAAGGTGACAACTCGGTGAAGAATATGAAGCCCTCGTCTGCACAGCGTGTCATTCCCTGAGCGAGCTTGCCAGGGTTGCTCTTAAACAAGCTAAGCGCACGTCGACGTGTCGGAGTCTGTGTTTGAGACAACACGGCAGTTGTCGCGCGGGATTGAGACGCGTGTCATGACGAGTTGAGTGGATGTGGTTTTGCGTTGTACGCTCGAATCGCTTGGTGAATGGCAGCCTTGAGTTCCTTCTCAAACCGACTGCTGCGGTCGACGTAAAAGTGAATGGCAGGAGATGGCAAGTGTGTTGGGTGAAAGAGATGGCCAACACCACCGGTTGCAACCGTGCCTCGCTCGTGCGAACGCAGCGCGATCGTCACGTTCTCCAGCATCGACGCCAGGGTGTCGCCGTCCTCCCGTGTCATGAGGTTTTCCTGCGCACCCAAGTTGATGTGGACAAGCAGCGTGAGCTGGCACGCATGGTGCGACAGAGGGACGACTTGCAGCCTACCCACCCACGTCAGCCACCAAACCTTGCGTGGCAGCCACATGATTCAAAGCCACCGCACGCACCAGGCACACTTGGCTTCGACAACGTCCCCTGGTGTCTCGTCCAGTATAGCATCCTTGGCTACATAGTGCGAGACGATCACGTCGCGGTGGTGCGACTGGTACAACTTGTGGACGAGGCAAGCGCGGCACCGCGTCGGCCCAAACCGCGTGTCAGTGACCGCGTTGTACACTGTCGAGTCGTCGACATGCTCGAGAACCTGATGGGCGACGGAAAGGTTGTTGTCGGCGAATGGCGGCGTGCAACGAAGCACTTACATTTTCGACGCCAACGACGTGGACGGGCTGCCGACGAAACACAGCCCACGCAGTGGCACTGATCGTGCGCGCGGGCGCCATCAGCATCAAGTGACTCGCTACTTCAAAGTAGACATCGCCGTTCGTTTGGGGACGGAGTTTCGCCCACGATATGTTGCTGGCTGGCGAGGTTGCATCCAAGAGCCCAGCACGTAGAAACGAATCGTGCATCGTTCGGAAATGGCGATCCGCGATGGCGTGGATAGCGTCGGCGCGAGTGGATGGGTTCGCGGGCAGGACGAGTTGTTGCCAATCCGTCGACGTTGGACCATCGACCTAGAACAGAGAGTACGCCTCGTGACGCCGACCATGCATGTCATGCGTACAGTCAAGCGTGGTTTCTTTTGTATGGCTTGTTGGAGGGTTTGAATGAACGCCGCGTGTTCGTTCACGGCAGCTCGAAGGTCCTGGTTCACCTGCAACGACGTCGATGTGTCGGCCGATTCTGCTTTCGCCAAGTGCTCCCAAAACGACGCTGGTCGCTTGGGTGGGAGCTGAATCTGCGCTTCGAGGCGATGCACTTCAGCGCGTAGTCGAATGATCTCGTCTTTTCGAACACGTTCGTGGTGGACCGTGGGGTGGGTCGCACGACGACGTGGAGTCTTCGGAGCGACTAGTGGCTGGGCGTCTGCCTCACTCGCGGACGAACCCGCCATGGATTCGTCACGTATTCCATCCTCTGCATCGCTCAAGAAAGGAAGTCCGCTGAGAAACACCCGCCAGCAATCCGATGAGTCGTCGTCGGCAGCGACGCCACATCCATTGTGTTGCATACTCGTGCTGGAGCAAAAGGTGAGAATTTTAAATGGGATTTTCCATGCAAACCTGTGTACGACCTCAGCCATCTGTGCTGGCATGACTCAACGAAAAATGGCGCCGCGCGACGGATTTGGCCACAGCAACGTGGCGGACGCACCATCGTACCGCTCACCACTCGCCAACGCGATCGCAGTATTCATTTCAGTGCGTGATGGCGCATCGTCTTCCCCCCATGACACCAAGCAACGTCACCCGACCCAAGTATGTGAGTTGGATGAAGCCCTGATGGTCTCCATCAGGTATGCATCTCGCACGACCAGCACTCACACGGGACTGCTACCTTGGGCCAAGTGGCGGCCATGCTTCCTTGGACCAACAGGTGGCAGTATGTACACGTCGGTGTCAGTTGTGCCGGATGGAGGGCGGTAGCTTCATGCACTGGCCAACGAGCGAGTTGCCGCAAAGAGACTCCGCGTCTGGCACCTCCGTGCCGTCACGCTCGATGCCAACGCCACTACAAATCGGGCGACGCGCGCTTCCAGCGGGTGTGTGCATGACCTCGTCCTTTCCCTGAACAAAGAACTGCCGTAGCATGTCACCCACAGAGGGCTTGGTCCCCGGCGTGCGCTTGGACGCCTTCTCTTGGCCGACATGTCCTGTGCGCGCCAACGTCGCCACATCCTCGTTGGCGCCTCGGCATTGGTTGAAGTTACGTGACCAACATTTGTCATCCGGATTGATGGTCTCGAGAGTGAGGCCGTTTTACGTTGGGACGAACGTTGGATTGCAACCGAGGCGACTCGGCGGTATGCGAAGACGGAGCATCTACGAAGCCCCAAACGAGGTCCACGCGGCTCTTGAACTGTCTGGCACATCCCAAACGCAGCCATGGACTGCACTGCATGCCAGGTCACCTTGCCGAACATTTCCGACTTCGATCCTTATGTCGACGAGACGGTCCAGTTTGTCCCAAGATTCGGTAAATACTGCAGTTTGATTGGTCGTTTGTTCCGTTTGTCCCGACGGAGGATTTGTCACAGTCACAATGATGGCATTCGACAACTTTGTCCGCCGCGCTCAACCGCCGCGATGACCGATTCCACATGGAACATCATGGAGGATCTGCAGTTCTTAATTGCTACAGATGAAGAGCTGCAAGACGACCTTGTTCACGTGTGTAATCTCTTGGACAGCGACCCGTCCACGGACGACCACCATGGAACGAAGCCATCGACCGAAGCACCGACCGTACGGCGGCGCAAGCGCCGCGTCCGTGTTGATAACTACAAAATGGAAGTCACGATGCTTCGAGCTCAAGTAGACACGCTCAAAGCACAACTAGACCACTTGAAACTCACGAATCCAACCATGGACATGTCTGCGTGGAAGCTCGCTGCACGCCGCGAACGCATGGAAGCCATGCGGTGTCAGGTCGAAAACAACGAGTTGAGGGCGGCAGTGGACGAACGAGAGTCGTTGCTCGAGCACATGAAGCGGCTATTGAACAAGAAGCCCCGCTGGAATGTACGTTGTAAGGGAACGTTGGTGTAAGTCTGAAACATGTAATATAGTTGTCCGAGTCGTCGTGGGACGAAGAGTGGTCGAGCTACAAGCTTGCTGCACAGACGTCGCTGCGCGTCGCAGCCATCCATGCCATCGCCGACCGGCAATTTCGCCGGCAAAATGGCGCGTTCATCGCGGCTGGTCTGGTTGACGTGACCGATGACGTTATCCAGGTGGACTCGATCACATTGCTCAATAAATAGTAGTCGCCCATGACGTGGCTACCTAGGCAACACTCGTTATGCTACCCACGCACGGGGCAGCACTCCAAGCAGTCCAAGTGGCAGCATTTGACGCGTCGTGGCAGACTGTGACAGCGGCTGTGTGGGCAGTAGTGACCAAATACCGCGGGTTCACAGCACCAGATCACGCCTCTGTGGTAGCTCGCATCCAACGTCTATCAAATCCACTGGCCAACATATGCACGGGTGATGTCTGGTCGCAGGTTGTCGAACACGTCGACGAGTGGACATTGTACGATCGCTTCAATCTTCCTTGCAGCGACGGCGGAGTGGATGGCCATCATTCCAACAACATCCGCAAGCTGTTTCAGGAGGAAAGCCGAAGCGTGTTGGTGTGGCGCACAGTCCTTGAAGACGTGCTGGTGCCTCATATGTCGAAAGGGGCGGTGGACGACTCGTGGGGTTGGTGAGTCGTTCGGTTTGTAAAGGCACTCTCAACAAGAAGCTCGATGTGCCGTAGGATCGAAGCGGTGCCGCATCCACTCGACAGCGCCAAGTGCCAACTCAAGTGCTTGCTTCAGGTTCCATTGGGCCCAGTATTGGCGACTTGCCGTCGCCTTCAAGCTGGAGCAAGTGGTGCAGCGGCAACCGAGCACACCGAGAACACAGTCGTAGAAATGGTGCAGCGATCGTGCTTTGTCCAGCCTGACAACGCCACGGTCGATGTGAAAACGATTCCGTATCCTGCCATTCGGACCATGCTCGAACGCGGGAAAGCATTTGAGCGGGCGCTACGGGCAAAGGTGGCAGAGCTCGGTGCTACTCCATGCGAACGCCCCTAGCCCGAACCATCAACTCATACCTGGTGCATCCCTTGGCCATGGGTGCATGTGTAGATAGAGTATGTCTGTGACGGGTCCACATCTCCGACCTGCCACATCGTGGAAGCGTTTTCTAACTGTTTCAAACGTGTTTCAAACATCATGAATTCCAAACTGTGCCAGGTATGGCCCAATCACCGGAGTCGCAAAGGTCACAACCGAGCTAGCAAATGCGATGGAAGCACATCCGAGTGACTCAACCGGCGTGTGGGATGGCTTGCTAGACCTCCAGTTCCTCGTAGATGGCCCATCCCAGCATGGCGATCTCTTGTCTATGTGGGACGTGGTGGATGGCGACAAGACTGGCCGCACGTGCAGTCCACCGTCGGGCAAGCGGCGGCGGCCACTACGCGATTACCACCATCGCGCGGAGATCCGTCGCCTTCGCGAACATGTGGAACACTTGAAGGTAGAGTTGGCGAGAGCCAAAGCTGCCAGTAGACAACTTGACCAGTCTGTGTGGGAAAAATCCGCGCGGCGCGAACGTGTGGAGAAGCTGCGGTCGCTAGAAGAAAACGCACAACTCCACGCTGCCGTCAAGGAGCGCGCCGTGTTCATTGAGCACTTGAAGCGGACGTTATACCGAAAGCCTCGGTGGACGGTACTCCACCCTCCCTCCTTTTAAATCCTGATCATTGAAATGGGATAAGGCACTCCCCGATGCCACCGTCGACGCATGGCAGTCGTACAAACTCGCCGCGCAAGCATCCGTCCGCGCTGCGTCCATCCATGCGATCGCCGACCGGCAGTTCAGACGGCAGCCCCATGCCTTCATCCAAGCAGGCATCTTGGATCGGGTAGACGATCTGTTCCGCGCGGAATCCGTGAAGTTGGCGGGCCACATCCTTTTGCAAGTTGTGAATCACGTCAACTTCCCGGCGCCAGCGTCGACTGTGAGTGCCGCATGCTGGCGGACTTTCAGCGACGGAAGCTCGAGCGATCGTCGAAATATGCTGCCGCTCCCAGACAATGCGACCGAGGTACGTCTAGCTCATGCTGCGAGTGTTGGGAGATGGATGCCGATGAAACAACGGACCCTAGACGATTGAAGTGCTGGATGCCCACACAATCTACGAGCGGTTCTGCCAGACGCAAGGCGACATTACAGGCCATTCCAACAATATTCGAAAGTTCTTCAAAGATGAGGATGGCCGCGACGTGATTGTGTGGAGGACAGTGCTTGACGACGCGTTGGTGCCACACATGGCTCAGGACGTTGTCGACAACACGTGGGGCTGGTACCTGTTCATGGCTACGTGTAACACGTGGCCCACGTTCGTCGTAGGCTCGTCGTGGCACCGCATCCACGAGACCCAACGCGATGTAGGATGACGTGCCTCGTTCAAATTCCTCTCGATGCACGGGTGGCACAGGAAATCGAGTTGTCATACGAACGGACACGGCCAGATCAGCGCAACGACAGCCAAACGATCGAAGCGATTTTGTCCGCCATTCGTTCCCTCTCACGCCCTGGACCTGGCAAATCCAACCACAAACCCCACGACGTCGTCCTGCCAGCCATGCGCACCTTCCTCGAACGTGGCCGGTTGTTTGAAACAGCCATGAAAGCTGCGCTCAATGACGCGATCGCTCGCTTTGCCACGTCATAGCGCACGTCTGGCCCAACCTTCAGAGAGGACGCAGGCGCGCGATGGCAAGGAAAGCATTCCCTCGTCGTGAGGCGCCAGGTCGTCCGAGTTTGCCACTCCCCGGAGTTTGCGGATGGGGTGAAACGTCTACTTGCATAATTTTTGTGTGGATATGCTTGAGATGGAATATTTTATATTTAAATGAAGTTCAACATTGCATAGAGAATGTATCTTGAAACGTTTACATTACATTCTTTTGTGCAGTAATGCAGGCAAAATTTCGTGATTAGAGCCATGGTCGAAGGCGGTGACCTGTGGGACGAGTTCCTGTGCTTGGACGACGTCGGGCTTCTGTACCACGGATCTGGCACATCCTTGCTGGAGCAGGATGTCCTCGGTGCTGCCATCGATATCATTGATTCACCGCCGAGAAAGTTGAAGCGACGTCGTTTCAACGTCGCTAAGGAGGAACTCACGGCACTTCGACAGACGCTTGTCGATCTCACACGACAGTTGGAAGCATTGACTGAATCCCGATCGAAAGTCAGCGCACCGTCGCATCACATATCGATCTGGGCTGCCGCTGCTCGGCATGAACGCGTGGAAGCGCGGCGGGCGTCCGATGAGAACGCCGCCCTCCGGAGCGCAGTTGAAGAGCGGGCCGCATCTATTGAGCATCTTCGGCGCATCGTTTTCAAGAAAACATCGCAGTTGACGGTATATATTTGAATGTCCTCTTCTTCCCGAGTTCTTTCACGAACATCCTGGTCACCGATCAGGACCATCCCATTACGAATGATCTCTGGCGAACCTACCACCTCCCGGCGGCTACCGGACGTCGGCTCGCCGCAATCCACGCAATCGCGGACCTACAGCGCCGCCGCCACGTCGAGATCTTTATGCAGGCTGGCGTTCTTGCCCAAGACGACGACTTGTACCAAGCCAAACCCATTACGTTACCCGACTTCCGACCGGGTTTACAGGTCATCAACCATGTAAACTTGCCAATTCCATATCACACTGCAACGTCGGCATGCTGGGAATCGCTGGCCGGCAGCTGGAGACCATCGTCGCGTTCTCGGGCACAAGAAGTACGTCATCGAGAAGTGCATAGCGTTCTCGTGGTCAGCACGTCATCGCCTTGCTAGACTCTCGAGCATATTGACGACGACACAGTGTACGACCGGTTCACGGACCATTTGCAGGCGGAGCCGCAGTTGGACACGACGGACGTGCCGACGGCCGTGTCGAACACCATTCGTAAACGCTTTCACGGACCCGACAAGGACGTTGTCATATGCCGTACGGTTCTTGTCGATGCGGCGCATCCTGTCGACGACAGCGGAGCCGCTCCCAACCTGGTCGACGACATGGCGGGATGGTAAATTCGTCTTGAACAAAGGCATGATCAAAGGATGAGAGTTGGTGGTGGTAGGATTGTTACACGGCCGCATCCAGACGCCCCTGCTACCTCTTGCCGCTTCACGAGTCTCTTCCAAGTGCCGCTGGAAGCGCACGGGGTGCAGAACGCTCCCAGGACGAGATACGACATGGACGCGATCTTGGCCGTGATCAAGAACATGTCGTTCGTGTCGACGCCGACGGCGGCCAGCCCGACCATGCACATCGACACGCAGTCGATGGATTTGACAACCATTTCGACACCGATTCCATCCATGGGCACGTTCCTCGGCCGTGGGAAGGCATTTGAACAGGCCATCAAGGCGTCATTGAACGCTGCCATTGCTGCCTTACTTCCGGCGCCCTCGGCATCCCAGCCCGCGGCCACCACCGCGAGGCGACCTGTCGAAGCAGTTGTGTAGGCGCTTGTTCATTCAGCCAAGACATGGTTGTACTAGTTAAGTATTCGCTACAACCTTGTTTTGCGTTCGTTTGCGAGGTCGGGTGCTATGTCTCAAACGTCAGTCCAACTTGACGCGCACGGCATTTCTCTCCCGATCCGTTGTCCTCGAGACGCCTCACAAAGCTCGTCTGTGTCGTCCGCCAAGAAGTCGGCAACCTGCATTACCGCAATGGTCAATCTATGCGTCATCCAACGACCCACCCCGATGTTGCGTGATGCGAGAGGGCAATCAAGTCAGAACGCGCGGTTTTGAGGAGAGCATCACCACTGCCGTCTCCGTCAGGAGATCGCAGGATGACCGGTTGTGGCTTCAGAGCGCAAATAGCACCTGCCCACCAGGCACATCAATCCACATCAAATTCTCGTGAATCTCGAGTCGATTTAACTTGCTGTTTCAGTTTTATTCGATATGTGTATGCACCGGACAGCAATTCAGAGTGCGTTCTTCGTTTGTCGTTACAACACGACTGAGGAAAGGCAGAGATTTATTTCTAAAATCTCATTGGATGAACAGTGAATGTGCATGAACAAATGAGGCCAAAATCCTGATTCGGTCCAAATTCAAGTACTGTATAAAGTACTTCCTCCGTTCCAAAATAAACGCCCGAATCAGGAAATCGGCGTGTGCCTCCCCGAATAAAAATGCAGATCCCACGAAAATTAATATTGGATATAAAATTTAGACAGGAATTATCCATTCATTAGCCAATCAAAACGAACTAAATAAATGTCGCACGACAATTGAAATCTCGGCTTTGGCCAAAACGGACACCGCCATTGGATTCAGGAGGGGGGTTTACCACCAGAACCCTCCTATCGAGCGCAACAACTCCAACGGTATCATTACTCGACGTCATCAATACAAATCGGTTCTATGCCTAGATCACTGAGTGTGTTGGCCAGATC